CGACAATTAAGCTATGTATTAATTAAAGCTATGTATGTATTTTTATGTTTGGTTCTGTTCGCTGGTTAGATGTTATTTTTATTATTTTTTTAACAGTATCGTGTGCGGCCAAACACCTGCTCTATCCTTGTTGGGAAGATGTTTTGAATTATTCAGAACAAATATGAAAAATTTTAATGGAGCTTGGATTTGAAGTTGTAGTGAGATTTAGTCTTTTAATTGGATTTTAATGACTCTAATATCAAGTGAAACAACTTAAGTTGAAAGTCACCACCTCTAATAATTTTTTGAACTAAAGTTCACAAATCTTTAAAAATTTAAATTCAAGTTATTAATAATAATTGATTTATATATTTATATATTAAACTCACTTACAGTCCCACACTGACGTAGGATTCCTAACATTACATGATAGTTCATATTAGAACTTGAATTTGTACTCTTAGTAATGATTTAATAACTCTACTTGAATATAATATAATATGTATTATATAATTTATCATTTGATATATTAAAAAAATATGTGTTAGTGGCAAGTTTAAGATGAGTGACGAAGACACACCTTTGGCTTGAAAATTCCATCCCCCAATGAGTTGATGAGCGGTGAGTGAAAAGTTGGAGATGTAAGGAGAATTTTGGGAGAGAATTCTTAGAGAGATTAAGATTATTTAGAGGAGATATGGAGGGTCTTATAATATTGCACTCTCTCTATTAAAAAAATGATATTTTTTAAAATAGATTAATATTTTTTCTCATTTTAGGTAAAGAATTTTTCTAATATGTACTATTGTATTTTAAAACACAAGTTAAGTGTGTAATAAAATACACTTTTTAGCTATTGAGTTGTATGAAAAAATAAAAAAATTTGATATTAATTTTAGTATCAATACATAAATAGTAATTTAATTGGTTAGTTGTTAAAATTAATGTCAAAATTTATTTTTTCATGTAATTTAATAATAAAAAGTGCATTAATTGCGTTTTTAAGAGTATATGTGAAAAAAAACCATTAAGCAAATTATATTACTTAACTTTTATGGGTTTTTTTAACATATATCTTAATGTTAAGGATTTAATTAATACATATTTTTTTATATTAATTGGTGTTGATAAATGGAAAACTTGACATTAATTTACCATCAATGTCAGGTAGATTATTTTAATTATTTAATTGATTAAAAGATTTCAACTTTTATTTTTCAATACCAATCATATGAAAAGATACAATAATTACATTCCTATGGTACAAGTTAGAAAAATTCCACTTTTTATTATTAATCTTATAAGGATTAATCTATCATGTACTTTCAAGGCACAGGATAAGAAACATTAATTATGTAATAATTATTATTTTTTATCTTAAAAATGATAAAGTTAATTTTTTATTTTAATTATAAATATCATGTGTTAAATTTTGATTGATTAATTTTAAATTAAAAATTAAAAGTTATTTTTTTAATATAAAATTTTACTTTTTTCAAAGAAAAAAGTTATAATTATTACTTAATAATGTCTTTTTATCTTGTACTCTTAAGTATGGGATAGACAAACTCATCTTATAATTACAATCTTTTCTTTATCCTTATTTTTTAAAAAGTAATATAAGTAAAAAAAATATAAATCAAAATTTTAATTCTTGAAATTTTTTAAAAAAGAAAAAACTACTATTATAAAATGAATGTAGTAATAACTAATAATTTTTTCCTAACAATTAAAACGAAAGCTAAACTCTTAGGACTTGTTTGTTTTGAAGAAAGAAGATGAGAGGGGATAGAAAAGAGATTATTTCGATCAATTAAATTAATTCAACATAAATAATTTGCTACTAAAGTTTAAGTTAAGGTATTGACCAATGAAAATTATTTGTAATTAGGGGCTAATTAAAATTGCCTATTTTTCCACTCTGTAGTCACCAAGCTAGGGGTTTATAAGGAGAAAGAAGGGTCTAACTCTAACTAACGTAAATATCGGAAAGGTCCTTAATATTCATCGAAAATATCAATAATCTCCACGTCTTATTATTGTTTCACACTTTTAACCTTACTATTTTTTTTTTTTCAGCTAAAAGAAAAGTAAAAAAAATATGGTGCACTATACTAAATTCAAAACTTATAAATCACTAAATAAGAGACATGTCCTTTGAATTGAAAGCCATCATCCTATTTAATTGAATTTAATAGTTTTTATTTTGTAACTAGGCTTAAGCCATAACTTGTTTGCTTTCGTTCTTTTACCTTTAGTTTCATAACTAAAATTATTATCTAGCACATTGTGAAAGAATTTTTGTTCCATTTTAATTCTGAGATTGTTGCTTGTTCCATTGAATGGGTTTGGATCGATAGAATTCAGACTAAGCCATTCTATTTTTCTGCTTTTTGTTTAGGTGCGTCAAATATGGATAAGAGTCTATAGCTAATGGGTTGGGCTATAACCCGAAGGGCCTGTGGAAAGCTCCGTGTCTGGATCCAACCCAACTCTTCAACCTGAAATCAATTTCATCCAAAAGCCCAATAAGGCAATAATGAATTCCTCGAATTACGGTAATGCCCTTCCATTAATCTAACCGTCAATCCTGTCACTCCCACTTGGCAGGAGGAGTTGGGCTTAAGCCGCCACCGACAATGGCACACCCGCCACCTGTCAATCCCCACCGCCAGCCGTAAACCGCCTTCTTGATCCATAAATAAAACGAAAAATAAAACAACACTCCTCTCTCCGATATCCTGAATCTATGAAGTTCTATTTCTCCGACATGCGGAAGCATCCATGCTCATCGCTTTATTTAATTGAAGCGCAATTTAATTTCTTTCTTAATCATTGGAGTTAATTTGTTTCCGTTTTTATTATTATTTTTTTTTTATTGAGGTTTTGCAGATGGTGCCAAGATTTTGATCGGGAAACAGGAAACCAGCAAAGGGTTTGTCTATGGTGTTCTTAATCGGTGCCAGTTTCAGTTTCCAAAAATAGATAAGGTAGACCCAAATGCATTCAAGGAATCAAAGGATGCTTAAATTAGGATTCCGAATAACAGTTACTGGCTTTTTCGACCATACCTCTCAGTGCTGCTACGTATATATAGTTCGGCGAAGGAGCATATTCTTAAAACCAGTCCATAGGCAGTCTTTGCCACCGTGGTGAAGATAACTTAAATAATGCCATTGAAAGTACACAAGGTTGACTCCTTTAGTAAAAATGCTTCTTCAACGAACAAATCAGCCTAGAACCATGTCCATGGATGAATTTTTAGAAATGATTGTTGTTGAATTATTTCACCAACTTCATCATAAAAAAGTGGCTTAATGATGAACTATTCAAGGTGGATATGATTTTCTCAAGCATTTTGCTTGATTTAATTTGATACTATTCGAGAATCAACTTCCTAATGAACACAGAAGGATGTGGAGTTGCTTTGCCAGCCTGGAATAATTAGTAATTTTTTGGGTGATAATGCAGCAGTTGCGACCTATATTTAACAGGCTTGGATATAATGTAAGCTTCTCTAAAGAAAACGTTCTTTTATAAAGAGTTATCTAATGATATCAACAGGCTTTACGTACAGTTCACCTTGGATCGAAAGCATGGCAAATTTAAGGCACCATTACTCCAACAGTCCACGGTCATTCATCTCTTTCCTTACTGCACTCTTGTTGCTTCTCCTTACCCTTCTACAAACAATATTTACAATCTCCCTTCGGTCTTGAAAGTGCAGGAAACCAAAATCTTTCATCCATGGATTTGGCTCTTCAGCATATATATGAATAATGCAATGACTCCTTAATTATGTCCAGAATGTGTGATTTGTTGAGCTAGTGTTTGTAATTTTTGGTATGAATGCATAAGACTCTTTGTTGATTGTATAAATATTGGTGTTGGATGTTGATGCTATTGTGTGTGTAACTGGCATGAGAGCGCCCTGCTAAGGGTTGGTCTTTCCCCACCATTTTTGTTGTTTGCGTGGATTTTTCTATTGCTTACAATATCTGTCTTCTGAGTTGAGAGTACCATATCTTAATTCTAAGGCTTGGATTTATGGTTTCCGTTTTTCTCTCTTTTTTTTTTTTTTTTTTTTGAACATTGAGGAATATGGGGAATGAGAGATTTTTTAAAGTAATTGATAGGAGTTGAACTCTTAATAAATTAAACCCAAATATTAAGGTTTGGGGATGAATAATTGGATCAGAAGGTTCAGTTCTTAGATTTTATGGTTTTTTTTAAAGTGTTCAATAAATTTTAATCAAACTATTTGGTATGTTATTAAAAAATTATTATTTTTAATTTAAAATTAAAAATAAATAAAGTTAAAAATACAGTAATAAATATATGAGTTAAGAATTATTTGAATCAAATTATACTTATTTACTTATATTATACTTTAATAATTAAATAGAATGAGAATAAAAACATATATTATATCAAATGTATATCTATCATTTTTTTATTAAATTAAGCTTTAAATTGGCACTAACAATGATTAGTGACTTATTTTGGCCGAATTGTTAGTTAGAAGTTTCAATCGTTGGGTACAATGTAGTGTTTTTCCTTTGAGCTACCTGCCTTCATTGGAGTTGAAGGCGAATTGAGATTGAGATGGACATTGATGTGGATCAACTTGTCGAAGAACTCCTTTATTTAGATAAGCAACTTGCGGAAAACTTTCGAGTTTGGACCTAGTCTTCCCTACCCTACCAATAAAGACATTTAATTTGAGGCGTATTTATTTTCCAACATAAAGCTGGAATCCACTAAGACACATCGCGATAGCTACCTTCAATAAGATATATTGAAGGTGGATGTTGACGCCATTGCGTATGTAACTGGCACGTGAGCGCCAGCTAAAAAGGTTAGACTTTCCCCACCATTTTTTGTTGTTTGCGTGGATTTTTCTAGAGTTTACAGTATCTGTCTTTTGAGTCGATAGTACCGTATCTTAATTCTAAGAATTGGATTTATTTGTTTTTTTATTTTTTTTTTTAGTGTTCAAGAAATTTTAATTAAGTATTTTGTACATTTGAATCCCTCATATTATTTCAAAGGGTGAGGAGAATATATTTTAAAATTGTTGCCGTAAATCAATTAAATTATAATATAAATTCATACACATTTTGATTTAATACATTATATAATATATTTATTAAAAATTATTATTTTTTAATTTAAAATTTAAAATCAATAAAATTAAAAATATAATCATACATCTAAGATATATGAATTGCATGAATTATATTATATTTGTATTATATTTTAATAATTGAATTGTATGAGTATAAAAAAATATATTAAGCTAAATATATACTTACCATTTTCTATTAAATTAAACTGTTTAAATTAATAACACTTGAACTTTCGAGTTCAGTAACATCAAGTCACATATAAGTGCATTTTCTCACTTCAAGACAACGGTTTGAATTTAACCTCCTTACAAATTTGTTAAAAAAAAAAAAACCGTTTAGATTAACATTAATAGTGGTTAGTGTCTTGTTTCAGATCAAATGGTAGTTAGCAGTTTCTATCGTTGGGTACATGTGCTTTTCCTTTGAGCTACCTGTCTTCGTTGGAGTTGTAGGCGAATTGAGAATGAGACTGACATTGATGTGGATCGACTTGTTGATAAACCCCCTTATTTTGATGGGCTTGGCTTAAAGTTATAT